AGGAGATGGTCGTGCTCCTTGGACAAGCAAATTCAGGGCTCAGTGGCACTTCCCCGTTAGGGATTTCTGGTAACACTGCTTCCCCTCTGAGTTGAACAGTGTTGTTAGTAAAGTGCAGGTGCTGAAGGGCACTGTGAATTGAAGACTGCATACAAGCGAGTGTGGAGCACATGCCCCCAGAGCTACCTTTCTACCACATTTTTTAGTAGAGCAGAGCCTTACCTCAGAGTGTTAGACAGAGAGACCCTAAATTTGATGGAAAGTTGGCTATACAGCTTTGAAATGAAGCCCAGTGAGTCGCTGCACAGTTATTTTTAAGGTAGTGGAAAACTGACGGTGGGCAGACTCTCAGAGAGCACATTAAACTAAGATGATTGGTAAATGTCTTCTCGACAGCCCAAATCCTAATCTCATAAATCAAAGTGAAAGGGATTATTGGAGAATTTTGTGCACCACAGAAGACAGAAAAAGCATTATTGAGCTTTAAAGACTCCCACAGTTGTTAAACATTTTCTTGTTTATCATTTCTCTTTCCATAGCTACATTGGGAAGAAATCTGGGTCTAAGTGAGTTTTCACTCTTAGCCTAGAAGACCAATTATCTTCAGTTATTTGAAAGAAACACTTTCTTTATAAAATTCATTTCACTTCTGTCCAGTTTCCTCTGTGGCCCATTCATGATTTTTTTCTCTAATTCTGAGACTTTCCATACTCTCCCTGGCTTCTGACAAGGTGGTCAGTCCTTCAGAAGATCAAACACTGCATAGCATAATCATTTGCCATATGTGCAACTAGCTCTGTGCATTCACTTAGTGACATGCCTCTGTGTCGCACTGGAAGTGGCCAGCTGGGTGTATTCGTTTAAAAGTCTTCCACCAGTACCCAAACACAGTGCCTAGGCATGGCAGAGGTGCTCAATAAATCAGTATATGAGCCAATGTACTTAAAGTAATTAATTCATGAATAATTAATATATTAATAAAAATGTTGATATCACAAAACAATTACAAATCCCTCAGTGTCTAGGAAGTCTTGGGTCTTCTTAATAATACACTTCAACTATATTATAATGTTTGTACAATCATTTTGCATCAAAAGTCCTCACTACCTAGGCTGAACCATCAGAATGCGGAGCACCCAAAGAATGTAGCATTACCAGTTATGATGACGGGTTCGTGAAGCAAAATATTTATTTATTGAGTGCCTAGTGTTTTCCTAGCACAGAAATAAGCCAATGAGAAATGGCCCGTCACAGCACCAGGTCACTGACCTGCATTAGTAGGATTGGAAGATGATTATTTCATCTCTTTGAAAGGCACCGAGTGATTCAGGACCATGTCTTGGTTCGCCCTAACTCTATACATCTTCATTAAGGAAAGTAATGGGCTTTTCAACCAACAGGAGTTGGCGAATACTTGTTAAATCATTCCTTTAGCTTAAGAGAGCCTGTGTCTCCCCACCCTTTTACCACCATTTCCCATACCGTACCTTTTTCCTCTACCTCTTCTCTTTTCTGCAACATACTGAAAGAAATCAGTTCTTCTCGGTGATTTTATAGGTGCTATTATTCCAGGCTCCTGACCTGGAGGAACATTGGCCCTGGCATCAGGGCATGCTTTGGGGTCTTTTTTGTTTTTTGGTTTTTGGTTTTTATTTAGTGCTGCATGCAACGTGAATTAATACAACTCATCTCTTTCTATCACACACTTCTCTTCACCCTTGATTTTACATTCCCTCTTAAGATTCATGTTTGCTTTCTAGACGTTTCCTTGCTTGGCAAACATGTTTGTCTACACTTCCTATCATGAGAAAGGAAACACTGTGGTTGATGGCTGAGATCTGGAGCTCACCATCTGGGTTTGAATCCTGACTTTACCACTTCCTAACTGTCGTGAGGCAGCTCCGTTTCCTCAAGAGGAAAGAGGGAGGAATAACAATGCCTTGGTTATACAATGAAGCGAGACCTAGAAAACACTTAAATGGTCACTGGTACATAGAAAACGTTTTATAATGCCAGGCTTGCCATTCATACCCTTAGTTTCAGTTTGCTGTCTACTGACTTTTACCTTCTGGCCCTCCTGGCTTTTGCACAATGCTTTGCCTTGAACTATCTCACCACCTAGCTCTGTTGAGATTTCTTCACAGCCATAAAAGTCTTGGTCATCTCTCATTCCCGGAAACTCCCAGAATCTTTTGTCTGCTCATTTGTCTTTCATTACTGATTCTCTCCCAATCCATCCAAATGTCAGCAGCCTAACTTCCGAACTGCTAACTCTCACAATTTCCTAAGATGAAATTTTAGATGCAGCTCAGTGTATTCTAAACCTCTCAGTTTCTCTCAACATGAGCATCTAAAAGCACTCCTCAGCACTTAGAGACCTTACTTGTCCTTTAATCAACGGAGGCTCATATCTTCCTGAAGTCTTCCCTCATCATTCTAGAACATACAATTCCAGCACACAGAACCATGAGATGGCTCAGCAGGGAAAGTTTTTGTGCTGGCATGATGACATGAGTTCGACTCTCAGAACCCATGTAAAGGTGGAAGGGAAGAGCCAATTTCACAAGGTTGCCTTCTGAACTCCACATGCGTTCTATCACAAACACACACACACACACACACACACACACACACACTAATAAATAGACTAAAGTTAAAAAAGAAAGAAAATTCCAGCTTACAAGACCTTTTCCTTTACTCCCACACTCAAACCATATAAATCTAAGTTACAGAAGTGTTAAAAGAAAAATTGTATTTAAATATTCTATTTGTGTGTGTGTGTGTGTGTGTGTGTGTGTGTGTGTGGTGATTCCCAATCATATTATGAGATTCTTAGTGATAAAAGTACCATGAACAGAAGCTGACATTATAATAGGCCTTCTTTTAATTAACATGTATGTGCAAACTCATTTAATCTGCACAGCAATCTTTAAAAATATCTGTTACTATTATCTTCATTGTGTGTGTGTAAAGTCACAGAAAGAGCATCTTTGCCATAAATCTAAATACAGGAGGCACATAATATTTGCTAAATGACTAAATTCATCATACCCTTGCTCTGGCTTCTTGAATGACTTATCAGGAACTAAGTTCTGTCAAATAAGTGTTGCTTTCACACTACTCCATTCTAAAGTAGGACCTGGCTAATGATAGAGTCCAGTAATTTAAGAATTTACCAGGAAACTATTTTCCATAGTTTTGGGATGCTATTCCAAGGGTAATGACAATAAGGTGTTCTTCATTCTGTGCATGTACTTTATGGAGTAACTTCTCAGAGTTAAAAGCACGTGTGTACTTGTGCATTCCATCTAACTTAAAGCATCACAGTTAAAAAATTTAATATATATCTACTAAAAATCAGCTGCTGATTAGCTGTGTGATTTTTTTTCAAAAACCCAGATTTAAGTCTTTGAGACTTGCTTCTCTGTGACTGAGTTTTCTAAAGGGGATACTCAATTATAAATTTATAGTATTCTAGGGATACTGTAAGAATGGAAGTAATCATAACACAGAAAGGCATGTTGAAGAATTCATCAACAGAAATCAAGTACGAACAGTGACTCCACCTGACCTCCTACAGTACGAAGTTCCCACACACAGAACTCACCTCTGTAGCTGTGTACTTCCACACAGAAAGGTTAAGCCCACCCCCTCCTCTGCCCGACATTTTCAAGTATCCTTGTTTAAGACTGTTTCAATGAATTTGAAATGCAATTAAAGATACATGAAGCAGAATTCATTCAATATCAGGTAAATACATTCATCTTTTATGAAAAATACCTTCTAAAATTATACAAAGCACATATGCTTTTGTGAAGAATGCCTTTGAAAACCCCCTTAAAGTAAAAATGTTCTGTTCCCTTCTTTGATACTTATATATAGATGGCTCTTAAAATTCAGAAACTTTCAGAAACAATAATCAAAAGAACTGATATTCAAATCCTTAGTGCTTTGTTCAGGTGTTACCCAAGCCTCGTTTTGGTTTGTTAGAAAATACAGTCATTGCTAGCATTAAAATGTGAAGAGATCTTTAAATGTATTTTTATCTTCAAATACAAACAGTTTTGGCTTCTTAGAGTTCACTGTAAGTAGAAGAAATTTTAAAATGTTTCTATGAAAATTAAAGATTGAAATACACTCTGCAAGTTAATACAAGATCACTGGATAAATGTATAACTTAAAGGGTTTTTTAAATGTGCAAGTTTTATTTAAAGTAAAACACTGTTTTAGAGACTGTATTACTCTGATGCTCAGATTGTCTTTTTAGTCTGAGTAGTCTACCCCAATCCTCTTACACATAAAACTATGCTAAACAAAAATCAATTTAAACTTTTGTAGAATTATGTAAACAATCTATCAATATGCATTTAGGAAAATGCACGTGTATATTATATATTTGTAACTGCATCATGAGCATGTTATTTATGTATATAAATGCATATGCACAGATTATAGATACACATAACTATATAATTTCAATTAGTATAATTTTTCTTTTGATTAAAAAAATCTAAAGTACTTTGTGTACATAATAGATATCTGAAAAATAACAATAAAGCAAAACTACATCTTAAACACTAATCACCCATTAACAATACTGTGGTTCGTTCCTGTTGAGAGTGTGTATATGTATGTATGTTGAGAGTGTGAGTCAAACAGCATAAAGCTGTAACATCCAATCACATTAAATCTTGGGTAGTATAGGAAAGCCATATTGTTAAACTATCATATATTTGTCTCTTTGAGACAGAGTCTCCTTGTAGCCCCAGCTGGCCTGGAACTTGCTATATAGACACAGAGATCTACCCACTTCTGCCTCCAGAGTGCTGATATTAAAGGTGTCCACCACCACTCCCTGGCTCCATCATATATTTTAAAATATAAAGAAATGTTGCCATTTCTTAGGAGCCAGGAATAATCAAAACTATAAAATATGAAATAGTCTCCATTGACCATGAAACCAATAACAAAGAACAAAGAATCAATAGAAAGGTGCCTACCTTCCATTGCTCTTTTAAAGAAGACCTTACAGCTCCCACAGGTAAGCACGCCATAGTGACAGCCAGATGCTTCATCCCCACAGATCAAGCAGATTTTTTGAGGTAAGGAATCGAAGCCATACTGTGGGCTTTGACTGGCTTCTGAATCCGTCCTTGAAATACAGAACAAAGACTCCACTTACTTTAGGTGCCCTGCTCTCAGGTAAGAAAGCTTTCTAAAATCAGCTTTGATGAAGCAAAGTAGATTTAAAAAATAGAATTCAACTACTTATTTATGTATCATTTTTTTTTCTTTTGATACAGTGTCTCATGTAGCCTAGATTGGCCTTGAATTTGCTGTGTACCTAAGACTGGACTTGAATTCCCGATCCTCCTGTCTCCAGCTCCCACATGCTGGGATTACAGGTATGGGTCACCAAGCCCTCTTTATTAAGCGCTGGCAATCAAACCTTAGGCTTAGTGAGTGCTAGACAAGAACTCTACCAACTGAGCTACATTCCCAGCCCCCAGGGCAGGATTACATATATATGTACACATTTAAGAGATGTGTGAAATAAACTTGATATAATGAACTACCTAGGACAGATTCCCTGATGTTTTAAATTCTTAGCCATTCATCAGGGGTCTCCTCCGGTCATGTCCAGGAAACCTAGAAACTATCAGTTGAAAGGAGTCTTCCCCCAGAGCTCCTTATATAGACATGATTTTCCCTTTGACAGATGAAATGCACTATCTTTGGAGCATGCTGGGTTACAGCAAACATAGCTCACCTTTTGGAATTTATTGGGGCTTAGCAATGGTTTGTAATCTTGAAAATAGCTTTGTAGAGACTCATTACTCCAACATACAAACACATAGATGTCATTTTAAAGTGTTGTTAACACAGATACTGTTTTGCGGAGTCACATCGTGAGAGACTACAAACTCAGAGCATTCTTTTTTTTTTCTTTAAGTTCTATTAATTCAGTATTAAAAAACATGTATGAAAAAAGTAGGAAATCCTAAACAGTATCAGTATAGAATGTTTAAATCCACTGTTCAAACACATCACTCTCAAAATGTACCTTAATCCGGCTTCCTATGAAAATGGGACCTGCCAAGGGCCCAAATCCCTGAGATATTTTTACTTTCATCTCTAAAGCTAACTTTGAGTCCCTCTCCTCCCAGGGGAACACTGTCTTAGTCTCGCCAACAAACACACCCAGGGTCAATGTCCTTCTTCAAAAAACATTTTTTTTAAGTATATAAAGTCGTACCCAAGGCATGGTTACCCCTCCGCAGGACAACAGGAGACCCAGAGTGACCGTGCAAGTTTTAAAAAGGTGAGTTCTTTCTGGAAAGTTTCAATGTTTTGGGGGAAAGGGTGCTCCTAAGTGAGGTATCTTTTAAATCTCCCCAAAAATATAAGGAGAGGGGAGATACCTCGTGTGGGGTCCCGAAGGCCCACCCCTCACCTACACCTTGTGGAGCCCTGCACTGTGAGATGGATGGAGGATGGGAACCTGGACCCGCCCAAACCGCGAAGCTGGGGATGCAGGTGCTCACCTCAGGTAGTTGAGATAGGGCGGGTAGACCTGCGTCAGGCCATCCTTGAGTACCGCTGCTTGGTAGCCGAGCTGCGGGAGCCCATTGAGGCCAAGCGGCGGGTAGATGGCGGGGGCGGCCCCGGCGGCAGAGGCTGAGGACGCCAGGCCTTCCCGGGGCAGCAGGCAGGAGCCAGACCCAGGGGGCTTGCAGGGCAGGGGCGCGAAGGGACCCTGGGCGGGCGGCGCGCCCTCAGCTTTGTAGAGGATGCACTCCAGGGTGGACCCCGGAGAGGGTGCGGAGGACGCCGAGGTGCTGCCAGGGGCGCTGGCCACCGCTCCTTCCCCGGGCCTGGAGGACGAGGGCGCACGCGGCGGCTGCGCCAGTGGGAAATCCGGGAAGGTGGCGGCGCTGGCACCAGCCACCAGGTACGAGCGCGGGGAGCGCGCGGCCGCCTCCACGCCCTCCTCCTCCTCCTTGATCTTTAAGCCGGGAGGCTGGTAGTCGCCGTAGAGAGGGAACGCATCCTCCTTGGGGTCGGTGTCCGCGGGGTAGGCGCAGTCTGGGAAGTCACCGCAGGAGACAGGCGGGGACTGGGCGGAGGGCGAGCCTCCTCGAGGTGGGGCGAAGGTGCCGGGTGCGGGGACCCCGCCGTCGTAGCTGTCTCCCTCCAGCAGCTGCCTGGTGCGGGCGGCCAGCAGGGCATGGTGGGGCAGGATGGGCACGTGGATGAAATCCACCACTGCGGTGGCCAGTGGGGAGCGCCCGGGAGCCACCGGAGCATCCTGCTCCGCCAAGGAGACCCTGGGAGCGGAAAAGCGGGAATCTTCCTTGGGGAACAGGGTGACGCCTCCGGCGGCGGCCCCGGGCACGCTGGCCGCGACTCCTCCTGCGCTGGTGCCTCCCAGGGCCCGAGGTCTGCCCTTCGGAAGCAGACCTGGACCAGCAGAGCCATCGGCCTCGGGGCCACCATCCTCCTCCACCTCCACTGCAGCTGGCTGTTGGGCTGGCTTCACCTGGGCCCCGGGCCAGTGAGGACTCCCGGAGGTGGGGAGCAGCAACTGCCGGGACGGGGACAGGCCCCTGGGCAGCACCTTCTGCGCCGCCCCAGTACCGGGGCTGTCGGCAGCCTTGCTCTCCGGCCGGCTCATGAGCGGGGACAACACCCCCTTGGTGACAGGGACACCTCGGGGGTCTTCCGGAAGCTCTGGGCCAAACAGACACCAAGAAGTGATGGCCTCGCAAGCTGGAGGGCTGGCGTGGCTCTGCCCCGGCCCGGAGGGCGCCAGCAGCGTGTCTAAGACACTGTCCAAGACTCTGCTGTCCTTCTCGGGGGCCCTGGGATGGCCACCTCCTGCACCCCGGGGCGCTTCGACTCCGGAGAACGCGCGCTCCACTTCGGACAGGGGCTGCTGTTCCTGCGTTTTTCCTTCAGGGGGCTCCTGTCCCTGGCAGGACCTAGGGAAGAGCAGCCCGTCCAGGGAGAGAGGGATGGCCGTGTCTGAGGGCTGGCTACCCTGGAAGGGACCCGAGTCAGCTCGCCCCAGCAAGGGGGACCCAACCTTGGCGGGGGAGGGTGTGCCTCCCGGAGCGTGGGGAGCGCGAGGATCCTTTGCCTGAAGCTCAGTCATGACGACCTGCGCTCCCCTTTTCTCCTCCCCTGTCTCCAGGGAGGAGGGAAAGGAGAAGGAGGGGGTGCCAGTGATATAGGGGCAGGGGGAGGAGAAAGTGGGTGTTGAGGCAACGGGACCTGGGATCTCCACCTCCTGGTAGGGAGGGGCGGCGCTGGTCAGCTTCGGCCAGGATCCTCCATCCAGAGGCAGAGGCAGAGTGGCTGAGGAGCTGGCCCTGCAGCGAGGAAGAGTCAGGAGAAAGGTTAGCTGTAGAGGTGTCTTCTCCAAACTGGCAGAGTTCTTCAGGAGGGTTCTGTCGGTGGATGGGAGGCGCCTGATGCTCTCTAGGGAGGCGCTGGAGTGGCTGAGGAGACAGAGACAGGGAACCTGCTATCTCCTGACTTTTCTGTGTTGAAACCCACCGGGGCATGCCAGGAAGTTCGCCTGGCCGTCCTCACTAACACCCCGGGACTGGTTGGCCTTTCGGACCTACCCTTTCTGAGTCTTACTTGGGTGGCGGCAGAGTCTTCCCTGCAGTCCCCGAGCCCAGCGGTCTCCGGTTGCAGGTTTCACTCTGAACGCCAGGAGATGCAAGTTCTCCTAGAGCTTGCTCCTGGCACAGCAGAAGCCTTGGGCTGGCAAATACTACAAAAGCTCACAAATAGTGACAGTCTAGACCAACCCCATAGCTTTCTAAAAAGGCTCCAAATGCTAGGAAGGCCCGCCCAAATCTCCTCCCTAGCCAATCACTGGCCAGATCTGAAATTCTGCAGTTGGCATTATATGTACCCACTCCTCTGAATTCCACTTGGATTATCAGGTGCTTTTTAGAAAGGACCTGGTAAGGATACTAGTTTCTGTCCTGTCTATTAAGAAGCATTACCACTCTCAGTGGGAAAAGAAATACATTCCATTGGGAGCGATTTTGTAAAAATTTAACATAGAGGAAGACTTTTGGCTACAGTATCTTTTAGAATAAATGTGAAGATTATCCCAGATATTTTAATCTTTAAGTTTTATTTTTTATGTTTTGTTTATGTGTGCAACTATGTGTGGGCATGCCACCTGTATGCTGGTGCGCGCAGAGGCCACAAGAGAGGAGTCAGATCCCCTAGAGCTGGAGTTCCATACCTGTGCTTGTGAGTCCCCTGATATGGGTCCTGGGAACTGAACTTGGGACCTCTGAAAGAACAGCAAGTGTTCTTAACTGTTGATCCATCTCTCCAGCCCTTATTTTAATTTTTCACATTTATTTATTTATTCATTCATTCATTCATTCATTCGTGAATGGGCACATGCATGTGTGGTGAAACAGTCCCCAACAGTTGGTTTTTGCCTTCTTCCATGTGGATCTAGGATTTAAAATCAGGTTCTTAGGCTTGGTACCAAGCACTTTTACCCACTGAACCATCTAATCTGCCCCTAACTATTTTTAATAAAGAGATTATCTTGTTATAACCTCCACAAAGCCAATTGTGCACCTCCAGAGAGGTCACCAGTGTGACTTAACAGTTTGGGACAGGAAGCCATTTGGTAAACACATCTCTATCTTCATGGGAAGATATCTGATTTGTCTTGCGGAATTTACCCCAGAATTTTCAGAAATATCACTTTAAAGAATGTTTCCTTTAGCTCTAACAATATCTTAAGATGCTTGCAACAGACAGGGGCTAGAGAGAAGACACAGCAGTTAAGAGCACTTACTGCTCTTCCAGAGAACCAAGCTTAAGTTTCAAGCACCCACATGGCTGCTACCACCCACCCTTAACACTCCAGTTCCAGAGTCCCAACACTATCTTCTGGGCTTCTTGGGCACCAGGCATGCATTTGGTACAATTACAGAGCACACATGCAGTCAAAACACTTATAAACATACTTTTTCTTTTTTTTAAGATTTCCAATAGACATGCTAAACAGCATTTTCTGTATTCAATGTTTTACTGTTCTTAAAATAATTATCTTTGAACTTGTAAAAAAATCACCTTTAAACTCATGAGATCACAGTAGAGTGGAGAGAGCATTACAATATATTTCAGATACAGTCATAATTTCTGTGCCAAACCCAAGATCAGTGGACACCTTGACATAGCCTTAAATATGTCCTTTTCAAAAATAGTATCAGTCATTTGGAAAGCTCCTTGTGTATGTGAAAGTCTGATTTATGCTGATGCCTTACAGTTTCACTCACCCAGCTACGGGGGATACAGTGGGAGACTCCAAAACTCCAGGGCAGGTGGAGCTGCTAGAGGTAAGTGTCCTGAATTCCTGAATCACCAGGGAGTTTCTACACAGTAAGAAATCAAACTTGTCACATTAGACCACTAGGTTTGGGAGCTGACTGTTTCAGCAATGCCTTAATGCTGACTAATTTTAGATACGTAGGAATTAGGGAGGTAGAAGAGGGGTAGAGGTGTCTCAAGGAAGCAGGTATCATCTGTCCACAGGGCATCAGATAGTAGAATGCAGTGTGGGAACTGAAAGGTGGTGTTATGGACAGGGCACGGAGTAAGTGTGGGAAGGAAATTGATGCAGCTGGAGAAGTGGCCTGATTCATTGTTGTTAGTACTGTTACTGTCCTAGAATCTCTTCTTTTCAGAATATCTTCAAGTGCTCAGCACATTTCATCAAGCTATAACTTAGGTACCATGCAGTCATGAACTTGGAGTCTACAGTTCAGAGGCTTTTATTAATAGCATGGTCATGGTTGTATGACTATCACCACTATCAATTTTGAAACATTGATATAACCCTAAAAACAAACCTCAGACCTTCAGTTACTCTTCCTTTACCCCTAAATTTCCCACAGCCAGTGATCTACTTGTGCCTTTGTATATTTGCCTATTTCAGACATTCCATAGAAGTGGAATCTTGCCCCATGGCTTTGCAACTGGCTTCTCTCCCTTAGAATGATGTGTTCAAGATTCACCTTGTTCCTTACTCCACTGCTTTATGTCATTGATGAATACTTCGTCACACAGATGTACCATGTTGATGAATGCCTCCTCACACAGATGCACCATGTCGATGAATGCTTCCTCACACAGATGTACCATGTTGATGAACACTTCGTCATTCACATACACCATGTCGATGAACACTTCATCATTCACTTACACCATGTGGTATTTCTGCACTTTGCAGTTGTTGGACTTTTGAGTTGTTTCCACTTTTGGTTATTATGAAAATGCTGCTGTGGTCGATCCTGCGGGAATTTTGTACGAACATATTTTCTTGTCTCTAAGACATCATCTAGGGCTGGAAATGCTGGGTCAAATAGCACCTGGAGACTTAACCTTCTGAACTGAAGAACTGAAAGAATGGTTTTCATACGCATTCCACATCCTGCCAGCAGTGTGAGGCTATGTCACTTGTATGTTATCCTTGCATGTGTGTTCCAGTTTGAGTGTCCCTGAAGACATGTGCAGCATGTGTTAACTCATCTGATTTCTCAATGGTCCCACGAAACACCGGGGGTTTGCACTGTGAACCTGATTTATGACTTGATGTTAACCTTGAGCACCTGTGTGAAGCAGTCCTCAGGGTTCTTCACACTTATTCTTTCCATTCTTTCTGGACTGAACCCTTTAGAAGGAAGTTGTGTGAATGTGGGGGAGTAGAAACTTAGGCTCCCTCTCCTTTAAGGTGGAGTAGCTGCATACCTTATGTGGACTTCTGCATGGATGTGCCCCTCTTCATCCCATTGCCACCTTAATTCTGACTTTCATGCCAACCAGTATGGATACATTTTGTTGCTCAGCTCTTTCAGCTTTGAGTACTGGCTCCTTCACATGTCCTCTGTGTATACTTTATTATTGTGTGTGTGAAGATGGTGGCTGTGGTATGCTTGAGAACGTTCTTGGCTCTTTGGCATTATAAACCACCCCAGACCCATGTTAAATATTGCCAGAACCCCTCTAGAATCAATCAGATCTCCAAGGAATTTCAATTCCATTTTAAAGAAAATAGTATTATAAATGAAGATTTACATTCTGTTTTATATAATGTGATCTACATTAGGTTTTATTTCTCAGACTTTTACACAATGCAGTACATGCCTTCACATCTGGTTTCTTTCACTTAGCAGGAATATTTTAAGTTTCAGTTTTATTATAGCATATGGCCATAGTTCATTTTTTGCCAAATATAAATCTATAATATGAATATACAATGGTGTGTTCATCCATTAACTTGCTGATAAACTTTTGTCTGATTTAAAAGTTTTACTGTACTGTTACTATCAAAATGTGGGTATAGGTCTTAGGTACACATACATTTTGATTTGAGGGAAGGGGATATTTACAAATGAAATGACTAGATGCTTTTGTGTGTTTTGTGGTCTGTATGTAACCTCCATGAAAAATTATGACGCTTAATTGCCAGTGTGACGATCCTTTGTGACCGGGCCATGGGAGGCCAGTAAGCCATGGACAGCTGCCTGGTCTCATCCACCTGATGAGGATACAGTGAGAAAGTGCCATCTATGAACTTCAAGCAGAGTCTCACCAGAAAGTTGTGTCTGCTACTTTGATGCTGAATTTCCCAGCCTCTTGATCTGTGGGAAGTGGATTTCTATCGCAGCTCAGCTATGTGGCATTTGGTGCATCTTCACAGCAGCCAAAATGGACTAGCATACTAGGTACACATGCAGCTGTCAAACAACTTTCTACAGTGGTTGTGTCAGTTTAAATTTGTGCCGGTGTGTTGGAGTTGTAATTATTTCATAACCTAGACCACAATTGGTATGGTCAGCATTTTTCATAAGTGGGCGGTGTGGTGGGATCTCAGTGGAGTTTATTGGTTTTCTTTTCCCTAAAGATAAATGAAGCTAGTCAGCTTTTACTGTGCTCGTTCCTTGTCAGTGTATCTTCTTCCACATATCTCAAGGTCTGTTCACATCTTTTATTGGCTTTTAAAAAGCTACCTGCTTATAATGTTGAGATTAAGTGACTTTTGAGTGCTCAGCCCTAAAGGGGACGTCTACATCAACCCCCTACCACAAGGTTCTGGGAACACCTGGAAAAGGGATCAGAAAGAATGTAAGAGGCAGAGGGTGGGGAGGACTGCTGTTAAAGCTTCCTTCTGGGCATGACAGGCCAC